ATCAACAAATCATCTATGTGTATATCAAGAGCAGATAAATTATTTTGACTATGCGGTGGAGATTTAGTTTGACAAGCTTGTATCTGTGGCAATCTGTAATCTTTTAAATTATTTTTAATTGAGACCTAATCCATTTTATAACAATATTGATAATAAATTACCTATATAAATATAAACATATATTTGTATAATTTAAATAACCTTTAGAAAGTATATTTATTGAGAAGAAAGATGAATTCTAAATGGTTAAATATTTTTATAATTTCCTTTTGAACAAAAACTAACCACTTTTCACCCCATTTTATTAGCAGTAATTTTATAGGATTACGTTGCTATAAGTCAATTACCAAAGATCCCTCGTCTGGCTTGACTTTGGGACGTCTTAAATTATGCAATTATTATTTTGGCCCACTGTCAGTCGGTCGATGGGCTTTGTTTATCTTCCCATTGTATTTGGCACACAAAACGCATTGTTCTACTACACACTACACACAAGAGCATGTGTGTTTGCCAGAGAGTGTGTGAGTGTGTGCTTGGTTGTTTAATATTTAAACAATAATTTGGCTTTCGTCTCTCCATAGAGAGCCTGCAAGGGAGAGTATGTCCATGCAAAAATTTGGGTCATGGTGAGCATTTGTTATGATTATTATTAACCCTGTTGTTGTAGTTGCTCCCAAAATGGGTATTAGACAACTTCACACGCAAATTTCACAGCTGTTGAACAATAAATTAGGGTAACAAAAAAAAAACAATATCAATGCGATAAACACTGATAAAAATACTAATAAATAAAGGTTTTTAGATAAGACTTAGATTTTAATAATATTTTAAACAAATATTTAAGGTTTTCTTACTAAATTTATGCAAGGAATAATTTAAATGCTGTCCACGTGACGTATGAGCAATGTGTAGATCCATGATCCAACAGGACGTATGAGTAATGGGCTTAATTTGCTGAGAAATCGTTAAAACCATTAAAGAATGAATCTTTTACTGGCCCGACTGCATGGCTCATTGAGTGCACACATAAGTAATTTCATTCCGACTCATTATCTCGTTTGATTTGATTTGTCGTTAATCAAAACATAACAAAGCTCAAAAACACACACACTCAAGTCGAACAGTCACTCGTGAGGTGTGTGTGTGTCTGTGTCTGTATATGGCAAGGACAAACATTTGAGGAGGCAACGGCAACAGCTGACAGACATTTTCATCCCATCCCTCTGGCTCTGCTTTTCCACTTGGCAATTTTCACGCGCCGCCAAGCTCAGCCGGCGTTTGCGAAATATTAACCAAATTAGTTAAATACCAGAAAAATGCATTTAAAATCGAGTTTAATCCTCAGGCGTGAAAACTCTCTCGCCCACGTAAAAGCCCAATAAACTGGGAGCGTGAAAGTTTTTCTCTCGTCTCTGGAAAAAAGTTTGGAGAACTCAAGGTAACTGAATGGGTTGAAATATGAAGTAACTTATTCTGGGGCGTGCCCATGTGAGGATTATTAAGTCACACAAGGTGCAAGTGTTGCATAACAATTGGAAGTTGGGAAAACAAGAAAGGAAACGAAATAAAATATGTCAGGCTTAAAAAATCCTTTATTTTTAAGTTAAATAATAAAACCTTAAAAATAAGAGCTAATAATAATAAGAGCTAATTAATAATAATTATTTGCAAATTGTAATTCAGCTGCTACCTCACCGTTTTCATTTCGCAATATCTCAACACAAATTAAGTTTATTACGCTGGCCACATGGAGGGGAAAAAGGACACCCTAAGCATGTGTGTCCTGCCATAGAATTTGGCACACTGCCATCAGAGGGCAATGGCAGCGCGGCGAAAAAATAATAGAAATGTAGGGTGGAAAAGCACCAGCGCAATGCTAAAAAAAAAACAGAAAAAAATACATCGCGGCCTTATCATTGCACATTTCACTGTTGGTGTAACAATTACGCCAAAGCCAACAACATTTGGCAAACATTCAAAAATGCCAGCAGCCAAAATATACACATGGACTAAACCCCTCACTTTGCTTTCTCCCCTCGAAAAAAAAGACCAGCCCTTCGACCAACTCAAACTCATCCGTTGCTCTGTTTTCCTGCTACAAATGTTTTTGATAATATGCAACATTGCAACAAACTAACCAACAAGGAAAGCTTCCAACAAACATGCATGCATATGTATATATATATTCAATATATATGGAGAAACAGCTCGGTGGAAAGAATAGCAAATATCACAAAAACAAGTCTATATTTTACTAAAATTTTGTTGAATCTAGAAAGTATTGTTGTATCAAATGTAAAATCATAAAATTTTGCAATATGGCAGCTTGATTCTTTCTAGTTTGGATCCAGATCAAATCGTCTGGTGAGGTTTAACAAGAATATATTTAAAGATATATAAACTTTATTTACTGCCACAAAAGTATTGGTTTACTGCCCTTTAAAAATATTAAACATATTTTTAAAAAAACACACAACATCCCTATTATCTTGACCACAGTTGTGTACATCGTATGCGTTGCAGGTACACACACACACACTCACACATAATTGCTTTGTTTACTGGGCTTTGAGGCGGCAGGAAGAGGGGCAGGGAAATTTGGCGCAACGACCCCCTTTTTTGTCTCTGGCTCTTGCCATAGATAAACCCGTCCAATGGGGTCGGACCCAAAATGCAAAACGGAAACCCAAGGACCTTGCCCCACAGCCACGGGGCGCTGAGGCATGCATATGCTATATGCCATATGTATGCAGATTAATCTGCATAAGTATTAGCTGGCGAACGAGTTGCCGAAAAAAGCGAAAGCATTTCACCTCGCAAATTAAACATATACATATGTACATATATATTCCCCCGAAAAGAGCTGCAGTTAATAATTACGAAATGGATATTATTTTTCACTATTTCAACTATAATAAATGCAGATTAATTATAGATTTACAAAGGCAAAGTTTTAACCATTTAAAGGTATTTAAGAATAAAAGCTTTTTGATGAGTTCAATGGTTTCACTTGGGTTTATTTATTATAGGATATTTTCAATACAAACTCGATTAACCTGGCTACAAAATATATTATTTGTCATCTTGCTTTATATCCACTAATTAAATCTATACACCCAGATTAAGTTCTTTTGTATCCAGCTCACTCAATTGAAATAAAAGTAAATAAGTCGTAAAGGTGCTACAATATCTCTCGCGTGCCTTACCTTAGATTAAATTTAAAATGCAAATTTAATTGGAAACTTCTTGTTACATGACTACCAGGCTGGGAACATTACAAACTTATGTCATTTCAAAAAATAGAGGAAAAAATTGAAGAATTAATCGAAAACCATATAACCAATAAGATGCGTACAGCCATAAGATTTGTTTGCTCTTAAATTTTCGGGTTGGCTTCAAGCTCTCTGGAAACGTTGTGTTTAAACCTAAGAAATCGTCTAGATTTATTAATCTTGATCATTATTATGTCATTCGCCTGACTTTTAGAGCAGACATGACCATGAATCGGCTACCAAAAATGAAATGAAAACTACTATGTGCTGTTGTCCCAGTCAAAGGATTTTCTAAAAACATATTTATAAAAAAAAAACAATTAAAATCAATAAAGTATTTGCACATTTTTTTGTCCTTATTCAAGCCAACTTTTTCTATGCCCAATACAGTTTAATATTTCCAACAAAAATAGCGAACGCACAAAAACTTTAAGTGGCAAATAGAAATGCATTAACATTACATACCGCTGACAGGCGGAGGGGGAAACGGGATGGCAGCAACAATTTATTAAATTAATTTTGGTTTAACATTACAAATGCCATTAAGGAGTGAAAAATTGTGCGCTGCGTGAGATAAATTTAAAATGCTAATTGCATTCGAGAATAAATCTCATATGGCTTTATGTGCACACACACATCTGTAGGTAAGCATGTGCATATTCGTGCACAAGTACAACAAGGCTCTTCATTAGTATTGCTGCGGCGGAATAGTCATGTAAATTTCATTAGGAATGCGATACGCAAATGAGGTCAGTTATTCAGTCAGAGGCACATTCCGATTCAGCAGCGGGGCGTTGCCTTATATCGAATAAACCATCATCTCGGCTGTCATCTCCGCTTCCCCTTGAATGGGATTTAATTGCAACATACCAAGTTTAGCCAGCAAAAAACAACCAGAGGAGAGGAGAGAATGCTAGTTTATCCAGTACATAAACTGGGTGTCAGTTCCGCAGAAGAAATGGGAATCCCAATGCAATGTTTGCAGGCAAATGGAAACTTGGCCATTTGGATGTGAGTAAACAGGAAATAGGCAAAAACCAAGACATGATGTCACCCAGACACACACTCTTCGCACTTAGTATGTGGGTCGGAACTTGAAAAACAAGGAAACATTGTGCAGAAGTGAAAACAAAAAACAAATTAAAGAAAGGAAAAACATAAATAAAGCACCAGATGCTCTTGAATTCTGAAATAAAAAAATAAAGCAGAATAAAAATATATAAAGTTTTAAATCTAAGGTTGACTACCAACTATTTAATTTACAATTCCTGATGGAGAAACGGGAAAGGAATAATAATATTATCTTTTAAATAGTTTATACACTCGCTCTTTTAGTTCCTACAATTTCCAAAATTCAGAAAGTAATTTGAATGACTTTAGAATTAATACTGGCAGCTTGATGAACATGCTTCCATTCGAATGCTCATTGGAGGTCGAACTAATCGCTGACATTTGTGAGCAAGTGGAGCCACTTAATTGGGGGAGTCATCGATTTCGACTTAGGCTCAATTAACCACGCCTCCAGCTCGGCCAACTGTACGGGTTCACAACGCCCTAATTGAGAGATGCTCGCCGTGTACATGTTAATCAAGAGGGCGTTCCAATTGCCGAGTGTGTGTGGCAATAGTAAATTATTAAATCATCGACAGCGGCTAGGTCGCGGGTGTCCTATTAATTTGGGGGAATATATATATAGGCCCGACGACGCGGAAAAGCAGGCAATACAAAATGATGGCAGTGGAGAACAAGACCCAGGCTTCAAAGGAGCAGCAGGAACCGATTGTCCTCGAGAGTTTCCTGAAGTACGCCAATGTGTTTTATCTTTCAATAGGAATGCTGGCCTACGATCAAAAGGACAATGGCAAGAGGAGGAAGCTCCTGCTCCACTGGATGTTTATCGCCCAGATAATCAACCTGAACGCCGTGCTCTTGACGGAGCTAATCTACGTATTCCTGGCGATCAGCAGGGGCAGCAACTTCCTGGAAGCCACCATGAACCTTTCGTTTATTGGATTCGTGGTGGTTGGCGACCTCAAGATCTGGCACATCTGGCGGCAAAGGACGCAGCTCACCCATGTAGTGCGCGAATTGGAGACCCTGCACCCACAGACCGTCGATCAGCAAAAGCCCTACGATGTGGCAGTACACTTGGGCGGCTACAAACGCTACAGCGTCTTCTACTTTGGCATGCATCTGGTGCTGATCTGGACATACAACCTGTACTGGGCGGTCTACTACCTGGTCTGTGACTTCTGGCTGGATCTGCGTCAGTTCAAGCGGATGCTGCCCTACTACTGCTGGGTGCCCTGGGACTGGAGTACCGGTTCCAGCTACTATTTCATGTATGTCTCACAGAACTTTGCCGGTCAGGCCTGCCTCTCGGGTCAGCTGGCAGCCGACTTGTTAATGTGCGCCCTGGTCACCCTGCTGGTGATGCACTTTACCCGCCTGGCCGGTCACATCGAGAACTATGTGGCGGGGCTGAGCACGCCCCAGCGGGATCTGGAGTTCCTGCAAAAGGTGGTGGCCTACCACCAGCGACTGCTGCTGCTTTGTCAGGACATCAATGGGATCTTTGGAGTGTCGCTGCTCTGTAACTTTGTGTCGTCATCGTTTATTATATGCTTTGTGGGCTTTCAAATGACCATTGGCGGCAAGATCGACAACCTGGTGATGCTCGTCCTCTTTATCTTCTGCGCCATGGTCCAGGTCTTCATGATTGCCAGCTATGCCCAGCGTCTGCTTGATGCGGTAAAATCTAAGAAACCTAATTAAAAATAATTATAAATTTTTTATTTCATTCAGAGCGAGCACATTGGCCAGGCTGTGTACAATCACGATTGGTTTCATGCTGATTTGCGCTACCGCAAAATGCTTATCCTTATCGTCAAGAGGGCCCAGCGGCCCAGTCGCCTCAAGGCCACAATTTTCCTAAGTGTGTCACTGGTCACCGTGTCGGATGTAAGCTGAATAAAAGAAAACCTTTAAAAAGTAAAACATTAATTCGGTAACTTCCTCCTCCCATAGCTCTTACAACTCTCGTACAAATTCTTCGCACTCCTGCGCACCATGTACGTGGAGTAGACGTCGCGTCGCCTCCTGTGATTACAGCCACAATCCAACGGCAGCAGCAGCATGTGGCAGTGACAATGTTGAGGGACAAAAGAAGCAAATCATCGTTGGCCAATAACTTACGCCAATTGCCGCAAAGAGTTGTGCTTTTTAATTAAAGTAGTGGCAGGTCACGGAACAAATCGAAGAGCGGTCAACTAACCGCAGGACCAATGATTAATTATCGCCATTTCGTTTGCACACTGGGCACGCGTGAAATGCAAGACAAAAAGCACTGGGCACCGAAATTAGCGAACCCTTCTCTTCCAGCAACTCACCTGGCACTCACCTAAGCCACCAGCTACCCACGTGGAAAATTTAATTAAAGATTTCCCAATACCAATTGTGCATAAGCTTTCAGATGTGGGATGTTAGTGATGAAGAGCTGAAGAGTGTAACTTTGCCTTTAGTGAATAATAGTTTATCAATTGGTAGACATTGTTGAGGAAATAAAGTAAGCATTTAGAAAGGATTATTTATTTAATTATTTCCTTAAGTAATCCTTAATAAGATGAGTTATTTTGTAGTTGGCAGCGGCTTATATACATAAAATAATTACATAAGAGACTTCACCCATGTACAAAAATCAGAAATAGACTCCTGATTTTACATATATTAGGTTTTTTAATGGCAAAGTTTCTGCCAAAAACGAACAATTATTTCATAGGCAATGGGAAATCATTTAATCTTTTCTACTTTATTACCCAAAGGCATTTCAATTTCCCTGGAGGCTCCAGGCCTTGTGGCCAATCAATCGAATAATAGCCATTTTATGCATGACGCCTGACCTGACCTTATGCAGCACTTAAAACTAATTGCAAAATATCTATCCGCGCTGCAAAGTGGCTGGTAAATTGCATTTTTTATGAATATTTAATTGCAAAGTTGACACAAACAGACAACAGACGGTGGATTGGACGGGGCTGGGCTAATTACATTTCTACGGCTGTCGGATGAGAGATGAGAACACGGAAGACGGGGCCGAAACTGCCAGTCAGATGGATGGCAAAATTGAAGAATTTTTTCAATTAAAATTACTGAAAAAACGAGCAACGAAAAAAAGTCAGTCAGGCTGGGCACCGAAAGGCAATCAAATTGGTTTCATTTCTAATAAAGGAGGGGTGTTTATAAGCTGAGAAAAATATTTAAAAAAAAACGTTTTTTTTAAATGTATTCAATCCTTGAGGTTCTTTTCTTAAAATCGATTGACTATTCTGATGACCTTTAATTATTATTTGTTTGGCTAAGAAAAAACCCAACTTACCGGTTATATTAAAAAAAAAACTACTTGAAAACATTTCAGAAATTATTTCCTTCTGTGTAGACATTGGGGCGTGGTCTCTTGGGCACTCCCTAATCTAATTAGAAATAACGCGCGTCACGAACTTGACTTGGCCATGGCCAGTTTGAATGTAAAATCGGATGAGGATGCAGATGAGAATTTGCCTGCGAAGCCTATGGAAATTGGCATGGTGTGGCCTCCTCCTCATTGCCGCGGAAATGCCCAAAATAGTTTCGACTAATTTCATTTGCGTTTGCAGTTTTCTCTTGCCCAAAGTTGTGTGGGTGTAAAAAAGTTTCGTTACGACTGTCATTCCCAGTTCACTGGTTCCTCATTCAACCTACTATTCCTGCAAGGAATAGGGCCAAACCGCAGGCTTTGTTAGTGGGTGCCAAACCGCTATTAATCAATGTAATTGCAGAAGAAAAGTAAAATGACATTGCCACCTAGCATCTGTGGCTAATTAGCAGGCAGGGCAGGTGGTCATTACTTCATTACCTGTTAGTAGTACCTGTTAGTAGCTGATTGAATATTTGGAATCATTTCAACTGAGCTACGACAAGAAACTTTACGTAAATAGAGCTACAAAATAATAAATTTAACTCACGTTATATTACTTGAAGTTCTCCTGCATTGTGACCCTTTTGATTGCTCAACTATTCGACTGAAATAGTGGGCCACGCAGTTTATTTGCTTGCTTGCTCGCTTGCTTGGTGCTCATTCAATTTATATTTATACATTGCAGGAAGAGTCAAATAAATTAATTCGTATACCCAACTTTTGGGGTACTTTGTGTAAGTGTGTGTTTGCTGAGGAAAATGGGTCTGGAAGTTGGAGAAATATTGGCTTTTAAAAATGTCAATATAGCAAGCAGCGTGCGCTGATTTGGCAAGAAAATTGCAATTGCAACCAACTTTTTTTGCGTTGCGTTGCGTCGCTGCTCTTTGAGAAATTGTATTTCGTTTCATCAAATGAAGAAAAATCGTACATTTTTATAAGGCCATTGGGATGGATGGCGATGCTGCCGGGCAGCAGCTAGCGGAATCAACTGGGAAGGAGGAGTTGGCTGCCATTGTCCAGACTTTGGTGCCACAGTGGCTGCTCCTTCTGCTCTGCCTGAGGGAACTGGACGCGGGGTTTCTCGATTTGGAGATCGGGAAGCACGTCACTTTGGCTGTTATTGAATTTGACATATTTCCGCACAGTGTGTGTGTTGGTTGGACTGTGGGCTACAGTGGAAACTCGTGAGATTTGTAACCTTAAATTTATTATGTATTATTTAATGGTTAGACTTGCAGGTTTCTGACTAAAACTTAGCTGTTCCTTCTTCAGTTTCAATGGGAATTTTAGGGTCTTCTGACTTTGTTCCTATATGTTAGTTAAAAATTTAACACATATCGGGGAAGGTATAGGTAAAGTTTTTAATATTATTGCATTCAAAAGAGGATGAAATATGTCTCAAAATAGTTCTCATCAATTATTTTATTTATTTAAATTAGTTAAAATTCTATTTCAGATTATTTTGTTGATTTAAAATGTCTATACAATTGGGATGTACGAGAATAGACTCATATTTAGTAGTTTATTAACAAATTTATGTCAGAATTTGTACATATGTATATGTATAATCGTTTCATTTTATATTCATTTTTAACATGTTCAAATCATACTTAATCGCGTAACTTATTTCTAAATTAACTTTTTAAATTATATTATTAAATATATTTAATATATTATAATATTATAGAAACTATAGCTTGCATAGCAGTCTCTACTGTAATAGTGCATGTGTGTGTGTGTGCGAGTTGTGTCGGCCAAGGGATTAGCGTCATTGCCATTTTTGGCGTATTTCTCATGTGTGCGCTAAGCTCGCTAGTCGGATGTGACCCGGCCACGCCTTCTTTTCCAGCCGCCTCCCATGCACTGCACTTTACTCGCACCCGTCCTCCGGCCCCTTTTCTAGTTGTGGGTGTCAGTGTGTGTGTGAGTGTATTTGTCAATTTTCACTCACTTCATTTAAGTAAACACATTTGCTGCATTTCATATTTCCAGTCACGTTCTAAGCATAAATAACACACACACAAGTGCAGCCGTACATATGCGAACGCGAATTAGAACGGTTCCCAAATTCGATTTCCGTGAGACATTTCCAACTTAAAAATAATGCTTTAAGTTTTAATTCTGTGAACTTATTTTTTTTTACAAAACTAACCTTTGGCAACATTATATATTGGAATTCTTAATTGGTTTCAGCTTTCAACAATCAATATAAAAATATAAATAAGATTTATTTTTAAAAACGTTCATAATACTTATAGTTTCGCATTTCAAAAATTGAATGCTAGTTTTAGGACTTTACATCCTCCATCTAAATAATATAATTTTCATAAGCTTAAATCTAAAAACATATACATATAGCAAATATACCTTTTCATTCATCTACAAAGTGTCAGTGTTCCAGCCCAAATCTTCACTTAGGTACTTCTTATTTTTCAAAAAATTACACCTTAACTAGCCTAATTAAATGTTATCCAATTGAGAACACGCTTTTGTGAGTGTATTATGTTTGCTACTTGTAGTGCATTTTGCTGGGGTTGACTTAGTTCATGTTGACAATGGTTGTCATGGCTCGAAACGAGAAGCATCTAATACTAAAGTTATGTACTTGTTGTGAGTCAGAAGGGAGTCGAGTCTGTTGACAATCCATTTTGCGATTCCCTGGCATCGTATCAGATTTTCGCGCTGCTCCAACTTTCCATGCCAGAGTTAACTTTCAAAATATTGAAGGCGCGCGTCGGTGGCTGTGGAAATTAAATTTAGGACTTGCTGTTATCCCTTTTTGGGATATTGTGCGGCTGCTGCGGGCAGTTTCACCATATTTTCTTATTTATTTTGGTCGCAGATTGCCAGCAGAAATTCTTGGCCAAAAATACATAATTAACGACCCTTTTTCAATAACTAAACAATTTCAAGCTTTCAAGACCGCGGAATATTTTTGCAAAAGGCTGCCAGAGCCTGGGTTGAGCGTAGATATTGGATATCCACGCCGCCCGGCTTTCGGCATTTACCGCAGCAATTTAAATTAAATTGCATCGGGCTTCGGCAATTTAAAATAATAATGGGCAACATAAACAATTTCAAAAAGCTGCAGAAACTGATATATCGTATTGTATAATTTTAAAAATATTAAATTATGCTATTAAAGTTTAATACACCCTTTTAAGGAGGTGAGAAATGTACTGACGATTGCACCTTCCAATTATCAAGATTTGGGCGGAAAAGTAAAAAAAATGCTGCTTAAAAAATATTTAAATGAAATGAGAAAACTTTGGCTTGTCTGAAGGGGCATTGGTCTTTTGCCTCTGATTATTAAAATTAGTAGTTAATTAGTAATTAAAATTAGTAAGCTGAAATAAGCAATGTTGCTTAAACTGAAAGAAAATAACAAAAATAATGCAATTTAATTTACTTTTCTGCAATGTAATTGAGTTGCTAATCACTTATCCGCCAGAAAAGTTAGTGAAAGTTTTTGCTGTTTAATTAAAAAGAAAATTCAAACTTATACTCTCGTTATTATATGAAGATACAAAGATATTACCTCTAAGAGTCCAATGAAATATCAAACCCAGGCTTAAAACAATAACAAGTTATCGGGATTTCATAAGAAAATACTTCTGTTTTTCCCAGCTATCGGACATTTCAGTAAGAGCTTGGGCCAATTTTAAAGCATTTACTGCTGCTTTCATGGAAATTTAAAGTTCTTAACGCCGCAAAACGGCAAGCTTACAAATCCAAACAATAAACAAGAAACAATTGCTCCGCAGCAACAAAAACACGAGCGCAGTACCAACAATATCGGCAGCAGCAGCCGCATTGGATAACAATGGGAATTCGTAGTGGGAAGCAAAATTTTCCATATTGCTGAAATGCAATTGCAAATGCTGCTTACAGGCTTCGCACACACACCGAGCAAGGAAAACATAAATAAACGTAACCATCAATGGTTCAATTCTCTGTGCTTCTGCATGATTGTGCGGGGGGGCAGGGACTTCCGGGGGCCCCCAATGGCGGCTATACGGAATATACATATATAGGGTGAAATTTCGGGGTACGATAGACGGTGGAATAACATTGCACATTTATATTGCGATTTTCGCTTGGGGGAAGTATCTCGTACTCTTTACAAAAGCAGCAAAGGGAACAAAAGCCCATTGTCAGGAGTTCTATCTCCAAATAAATTCGAGTCCAGCTACGAGCTAAACTATTTCAAGGTGAATTTCCCCCATTTCCGGTAAATATATTCATTTGAATTAAGGGAAAAATTAAGGTAGACTTTATAAACTTTGCTATGGTAATTACTTATAGGGGTTTATAGAAAAGAACCTTTAACTTTAACTTTATATCAGCATATATTCATTTATAATGATTACATGTTTACAAAATATATACATATATTTTTTAATCTTCTTCCTGTGTGCAAATGCATTAAATTGTTTGCACATACCATATATGCCCGACTGGCAGCCAAGACAGACGATGGGGGGAAGCCCCTGGATCCCATTGATAGCTGGAATCGCAGTCGATGCTGCTGCTGCCGAAATAAAACGTAAACAAACAAATAATAATTGTGCACCACACGACTGTATGAAATAAACAACGCTCTTCTGCCAAATAAAAAAAAAAAAGTACATAAAAAAGAATCAACAACAGAATGCCAGATGAGGTGGAAACTCATGCTTTTTGCAGACTTCTACATGGGAAATGCTATCTACAACTTGAAAGCAATGTTAACTTATTGATTTTCTAAAAACATTAATTGTTATACTATTAAGTACCTTTATAGGTATTTTAAGAATTAAGATTACCTGTCTGATATACTTCTTTGATTTATTTTATTAAGAAAAGCACTTAAGAGTTGGCAATTCAATTTTTTCCCACTTATTATTAACAAAGATTGTTTTTAATTATATTTAATATTATTTAAAAAGAAGTTTCTTAAGGCTTCGGTCTTTGGTAAAGCCCCATCACTCTTAAAGAGCGATGCAGAAGCCAAATCAACTAAGCATGACAATAAGGTGGCTGTTGAGGTTCCTTCTCTTTATACCGATTCGATACCGTTGCCGTGTGGCTAATAAACCCGGTATATTTTATATGCTCCAGCCAGCAGGAGGACAATGGGTGGTGGCATTCGCACATGAACAGCAAGCACATCACATTTTCATCAACAAGAATCTGTTTTATCGCACTCACCCATTCCGGGGGCCCACATCTACATTTTATTGGCCCTGCAGCTATCCGTTCACATAATTCGATGCCGGCTCTTATTTCGTCTATTTTTACTGTCTTCCGGTTTATTGCCACCCCCACCTTTTGACCCCCTCAAACCACCCATTGTGCAAATCTACTACCGACTTAATTAAAGCCATTCAGTCACCCACTCAGTTGTTGGGCTTGTAAAATATTGGTTTTCATATTAAAAATATATATCCTTTATTTACGAAAATGGAAAAATGAAAATTGTAATGAAATAACTTAATTCTGTGATTGTGCACTTTCGAAAATGGATATGAACTCAAAGTTTTGTGACCAAATATATTGGTTTTCATATTAAAAATATATATTTTTTATACCTTTTATTTACGAAAATGGAAAAATTAAAAATGTTATGAGCTTAGTTCCAGGATTTTGCTCTTTTGAAAGTAGAAATGAAAAGTAAAGTTCGATGATCAAATATGTTTTAAACATTTTTATCTTACAACTAAAAACATGCCTTAATTTTTTGTTTTAAATCCGAATTGATGCAAAGAATAGATTGAAATGCAATCTGAAAACGATGTGAAGGCACTTGAGCCACACAGTATGTTTGTTTTATTTCGATTTCCGTGTTTTGGACCAAGCTTATGCTGCGAGTAAGTGGTAGATTCCAAATGGATGATGTGGATCAACAGGCAGCGTCAATACAGAATCAAATCGTCAACCGAATTTGATTAGTCGTCACTTGCACTTGCAATAACTTGGTGTGCCACCCTGCAGCGCCATCATCCCGTGGCTTCGACATGTGCCGGACTCAAGAGGGCTTCTGCTCTCCTATGCGAAGGGAGGGCAAAGCAAAAGTGCTGAGATTGCGTAGGGTCCAAGTCCAATGTCCGATGTCTGTGCATATCGATGAGAGGGAAGGGTGATGGGTGCAGGGTACAGGGTACAGATCCATCCGTGGAACGCTTGAGATGAGGTCCTGCCTGGGCAGTCGAAGTAGAAGCTTGCAAGCAAATAACAAGATTTCACGCTTGATTTTCACATCAAAAGCCGGATAAAGAAATGGGAAAATCTCTGTGTCGTGTGCAAATGAAACGAAGCAGCTAACAGGATGGGGACAGGATTGGTCCTCTGCCTCGGATTGTTTTTCATAGCAGCAAATTGAAGTTTACAAAGTATCCCATTTGATGGACATAAAGTGGGTGTGGGAGTGGGTGTGGGTGAAGGGTGTTTCTATTTTTTTTTAGTATTTGGACTTATGAGAGAAATTGGTAAATATGAAGTAGCCTCAGAGTTGCTCCAGGGACTCCAGCTTCAGTAGTCGCTGCTCACCCAAGTGCTGCTCCAAGGCCAAACGCATGGCGTCCAGAAAGTCCGACAGGCTGATCTTCTCGTTCTCTTCGTAGAGCTGGCTGCTGGTGTACTGGGTGTGGGCCAGGAGCGGCAGCTTTCGCAGGGTGCGACCACTTAGGCCGCTGCTCATTTCGGCCAAATTTGACAAAAGTCCCTCCTCGGCGTCCTCCGTCTCCAAATCCTCCCGCTGCAGGATGCCCTTCGACATGAGCTCATTCAACATGGACTTGTAAATGGAGCGAATAGCCGGCAATCCCGGAAGTCCGATATACTGACGGATATCAGCACGATCCAGGAAGGCCAGATCAATGGTCTGCGCCAGGTTGGAGGTGGCCAGGATGAGCACGTTGGAACAAGTCTTAATATCATCCAGCTGGGTCAGCACCGCATTCACCACACGCATGGCGTCCCTGGGCTCATTGCTGGACATGGCGCTTCTGGCGTAAGCCAGCGACTCCACTTCGTCGATAAGAACACAGACCAGGTTGTTGCGGTCCGCCACCAACTCGGCGATTTTCGAGAACAGACGCGCCACAAGCTTACCGCTCTCCGAGAACCACTTGGAGAACAGACTGTGACTGTTGATCTCCACCAGGTGGGTGTACGCATAGCTCTCCTGTGTCCGAATAGCTAGCTTCTGGGTCAGCGCCTTGCACAGGCTTGTTTTGCCCGTTCCTGGCGGACCATGGAGCAGCAACAGCCGGTTGCAGGCAATCACATTCGTGTCCACCTGATGCTGCGAGAAGCTCAGGGCGGACAGGGCGAACTTGAGCAGCTTCTCCTTCAGTCCGCTCTCGTAGATCAGATTCTCCCAGAGGCCCTCAAACTGGCTGGCCGGCAGCAGAACGTGATGGGCTGCTATGACGCTATCGATGCCATCGCCATTGCCGCTTTCATCGAAGAGCCCGGCACCGGCATTTGTTGGATGAAGCTTATAGAAATGGAAACGAAACTTGTTGTGGGACGACGGATTTATCTGCTGTCCGCCGTCACTGTCGCACTCCAGGAGTACGTTTTCCACCAGCGGACTCTTTTCTTCAGGCAGAGTCGGGATAAGGGGAACATTGTGCGGCAGGTTTCTGGCCGACTGCACATAAGTTTTCAACGCCGGCTCCAATCGGTCTCGCATATCTCCCAAACCCCTGCAAACATGGTGTTAATAATTAGGGCGAAGTTTGCGACACCAAGCGGTACTCACAGGTTGAGGCACTTCACGCGAACCTCCACGTGGACAGTGCTGCTGTTGCTCAGGAAACTCATTTTGCAAATAAAGTTTACCTTTAAAAAGTCGCGGAAACACACAAAATGTAGAGATGGGAGTAACCTAAACGAACATGGGCAATCGATGCTCTAAAAGCTATCGATTATCGATTTTACATATTCGATTTTTATTATTCGTGCAGTAGGTGTGGAAACTAGTTGCGACTTACCGAAGTTTCGAACCATTAAGGACATTTTTTACTAATAAATTATTTAAAACTTAAAATATTTGTAAACTTTTACCTATTAATTATTGTAAATTTAACATTAATAAAGTGCAAAATTTACTAGTTGTACAGTAGTAAAAAAATTAATAGTAATGAAAAAAATGTATACTTGTATCTTAAAAATGTTGGCAAGCTTCCTTTTCCTGCTATCTCTTAATTTCTATCTTTCTAAAACATTAACATATATATATTTTTAATAATATTAAGTTAAATTGTGCTTTTGTGGAATGCTTCTCTTTATTTAATATTCTGAAAATGCGCGGCACACTTAAGATGCCCGCCCGGAAATCCCCTCCTAGTCATCCTCGATGACAACCAAGATGTCCCGGAAACAGAAGGGTGTGAAGGGGTAGCCGGCGCCCTCGTAAAATTTGCTCATGAACTCCACCCAGTGCAGACGCAGAGTGTGCAGGAAGGCAGAAAGACCCTCCATCATAACCATGATAGCGATGGTGAAGAACTCCCAGACGGCAAAGATCAGGAAAATCCAGATGCAGCCCGTATAGCCCGTGGTCTGCAGACCCATCGCCAGCACCATGGTCCACAACACCTCCGAGAGCTCTGCAATGTAATCCCAGATTAATGGCAAATCCCTACTGCAATCTCAAGGGAATACGTACGGGCATGGGCCAGGGACAGAGCCCAGAGACGCAGATAGGAGGCCGTGTGTGAGATGGTACTCAGGATATACTCGATGGTGTGGATGGCCTGGTGAATCCAGATCTCGCTCATGGGCTCGTCGTCCTCGCTGTGTCCGCCCGACTCGTGAGCCTCGGCCACTTCCGTAATGATGATCTCCTTGCCGGTGGTTATCTCAATTTTCTCCACGATATTATCCTCCACGGGTCCAACGGGCTGCAGCAGGAAGTCGTAAGAAGGATTAGGTCACGTCTTACAGCCCCAAGCTAGCTCAGACTCACCCTGTTGCGGCGCTTGAACTTAATATATAGCGGCTTGCCGAGCAGGATCCAAGGGATGCAGATGAGAGCGATTACGAGGAATATTGTCTCCAGCTGGCGCTGGATAGGAAACATGCTGGCATCGCAGCCCGGCGAGGCCGTCTCCGTCTTGAACAGGACCATGTCGATAAACATGATCAGGACCGAGGGCGCACATCCGGGGGAATCGGCCACCACATCGGTGGTGGGACTGTACTTGACCCACTTGTAGAACATCATGAAGCACATGTAGCCGAACATGAGCAGCAGGAAGAGGACCTGCGGGACGAACTGCAGGATAATGTAGGCGTACTTCTTAAAGAACACAAAGTTCTCCACGGACATGCACACGCCAAACACCATGTGCAGCACACCAAAGATGATCGATAGCTTCATCTTGTAGGTGTTCAGGAAGATGATCTTGTTGGAGGCCGACTGCCAGACCGGGTCGATGCCCATGGGATAGACCCCTCTCGCGGCCACCGTAGGATTGAGGGTCAGGGTGGGATTAGTCAGGACAGTGGTTCGATTGTAGACATTGACCCAGCGCGAGCCGAACACGTTGAAGGACTTGGAGAAGATGTCGTTGTAGTGGAAGCCCGTGTACATGGCAAACAGACCCATCAGCATGATGATGTAGCGACCGGCGAAGAAGATGGTCCAGATCTCGCCACCCCGCTTCTTGCTCAGCCGCTTCTCGTCCAAAACCATCCAGAGGCCCAAGAGGAAAAGGATCGTGCCGTGTCCCATGTCGCCGAACATCACGGCGAACAGGAAGGGGAAGGTGATACAGGTGTACAGGCCGGGATTCACCTCGCGGTAGCCGGCGATTCCGTACGCATCGATAAGGTTCTGGAATCCGCGAGTGAACTTGTTCGTCCGGAAGTAGGTCGGCGGCTCCTTCTTGGTGTCCAGCACATTGATGAACGAGGGCACCGTGCTGCCCACACTGGCTGATCCCGCGGCCAGGGCCACCTCCACCTGCTCCAGCTCCCGCTTGGGCACCCAGCCCTCGCCAATGAGGCACTTGCTGCCCATGTCCACGTTGAATAGATTCAGCGTGTGGTAGATGGCCTTCATCTTCTTGATCATGGCCGACCATTTGGGCAGCTGCTTGAGGGCCGCCTGAAGCACACAGGTCCTGTGGTCGCTCGTCTGGTTGATGATTGCCTGGAGGTCCTCCAGACGGATCTTCACGTTCTTCACCATCTCCTGACGCTCGGCGTGCGAACTGGGACAGGGGTACATGTGGGCATGGAAGCCGGTGCAGACCTTGCGTATCCTGCCCTGCAGCTGATCACCCTGGAAGAAGACCACAAAGACACTCTTGTGGAGCACACTGCCGGTCTTGGGATCCGTCAAAGGAACATCCACCTCGCAGCGGCGAACGAAGACGTTGCCACGCGAGATGCGCCACAGCATCCGCTCGAAGGCATACTCCCGCTCCCTGTTGATCACTCCGGCCACGAAGCCCAGACGGCCATTGGACTGCTCGGGGTCCTGATGCGTTCCCTTCTTGTTCAAGTCAAAGTTGTGGGACTCCTGGTCCGAGAAGAACTGATCGGTGCGCTCCAGCACTTGGATCATTTCGGTTAGCTCCAGGTAGCTCGTCTGCAGGTTCACATTGTTGGCAGCCAGCTCCATGATCTCCGTCTCGGTTTTCTCCAGGTGCGTCTCCAGATCAATGATCTCGCGCGGCTGTGGTGCCGGCGGGAAATCGTCGATGAGGTCGAGCACCTTGTGACCCTCCTTGGATAGTTCAGAAGTTACGTAACGAATGCGACGCTCGAGCTCATCGCAGCGCCTCACCTCGCCGACAAACTTGCGCTGCTGGGCATTGATCTTCTCGTTCATCTTTAAAGGGGATAAAAAAGGATACGGATTTCATCGCATATTTATCAGGAAAGGACAAGAAACGAGATTGTCCACTTACGTCACGGAACTGCACACATCCCACTTCGCCCAATGCTGCAATCGTATCGTAGGCTGCCTCCGGCTGCAGATACATTTGCACCAAGGACATCACCTCACTTCGAAAAATGCTGTTGCTCTCCTGATTGGAGCCGCAGCTCCACCACTTGGACATGTTGGCTGATCCTGTTGCTCCTTTGACTGGTTAATTAAATTCCGGAGTTGGGCTCCGCACATTCGGAGCGCAGCTGTCAGACGACTGATCGGTCTGGTCAAGTGACTTGGACGAGGAAGGCTAGCTGACCCACGAGCGCCTTCTTTCCCGGCTTATCAGTCTGCCTTGGATAAATATTTGGGGAACTTCTATGCCCCGTGAAGCCATCAATCAATGTGATGAATGTCCGTTTCCCCGATTGCTTTTCCTACCTTCCAGCCTTTTTTTTGCTTATCAACTGATAGTTCTCAGCCATTTGGAATTAAAAACCAATTGCACGACAATTAGTGATTTCCAGGTCTGCTCTAGGTACTTATTCTATGAATTGTGTACCTAAAACTATGAGTACATACAGTGGTGACCTGTTGTAAGGTATGAACTGTACCTTGGACTGATTCTTTGCCGTCACACGTATAATAAAAAATTATACTTTTTTTTAATTATTTGCATTAATTCACAATAATCTAAAAATAAGTACACAATTTTGCTGTTCTCTTCCTTGCTGTATATTTATTTATTACAATTAATTTATTTTGTACAAGTTATTTATTTATAACAATGAATATCAAATTATTGCTTTTGAAACAGTTTTTTGAGAATACTAGGCACAACTCCCGGCCAGGAGGAGGAATACTTTTCGACAACAAATGGAATACAAAACGGAGAGGATACAAAAATGTGGGAAGAGCACCACAATACTGACGATATCCGAAAAGGAAATAAACAAAACAAAAACATTTAACAAACAATTCAAAACATATCTGTGGGCTGTGGGCAAAGCAAAGCTCGCTGGATAATTTTATACATATTTTCGTGGTTTGAGCACACTGGAGCTCTCTACTCCTCTTCCTCGCCGTCCAGGATGGCCTTGAAGCTGAAGGGCTGGAAGGCATAGCCCAGGCCCTCGTAGAACTTGCTCATGAACTCCACCCAGTGCAGACGCAGGGTGTGCAGGAAGGCGGACAGACCCTCCATCAGGACCAGAATGGCCAAGGTGAACAGGCACCAGGCGCCGAAGATGAGGAAGAGTCCGATGGCGCCGCCCACTCCGGACATCTTCAGACCCAGCGACAACACCATGTTCCACAGCACCTCGGAGAGCTCTGCAATGCACAAGGGGTTAATAGAGAGGCCATCTAACAGCTCCACAGGAACACTTACGGGCATGGGCCAGGGACAGAGCCCAGAGACGCAGATAAGAGGCAGTGTGCGAGATGGTACTGAGCACATATTCGATGGTGTGGATGGCCTGGTGAATGTAGACCTCGCTCATGGGCTCATCATCGTGACCGTGGGCGCCTCCTGCGTTCTCCTCGTTTCCGGAGAAGCCCGTGGGCAGAGGGGTCTCGCCTTCGGCCAGCTCCATGTTGCCGGTCAGCTGGCCATTGTGCTTGGCCTGTCCAGGAGAAGGGAATAACAAATTAATATTAATATTAAGAGGAGCGGATCTCAGTGTTGAGGGAGACCTACATGAGCATTGTTCTTGCGGGTGAACTTGATGTAGAGGGGCTTGCCCAGCAGCATCCAGGGAATGCAGCACAGGCCGACGAGCACGAAGGCCTTCTGCACCTGCGGCTGGGATTCGAACATGAATTCGTTGCATCCCTTGGGCGGTGGTGTGTTCTTGAACAGCATCATGTTGATGAACATGATCAGGACGGACGGAGCACAACCGGGTGTCTCGGCCTGGATGTCTGTCTTGGCGTTGTAGCTAACCCACTTGAAGAACCTTTAAAACAGAATCCGTTTTAGAAAATATACA